CACACACACACACTGGCTGGATGATCGAGTCAGAGTCAGCTAGAGTAAGTGGATTGATTCTCACAGTTATCTCGTCGGTCTCTCTCTCTCTCTCTCTCACACACACACACACACACACACACACACACACACACACACACGGGCTGGATGATTGAGTCAGAGTCGGCTAGAGTAAGTGGATTGATTCTCACTGTTATCTCGTAGGATGTTATACAGACGATCAAGCATTCTGCAAACCGCGAGTTTTCACAAAGCTGAGACCAAGACGATAAGGGTGAGGTGACTCGTCGCCAGGGCGAGTTTCCACAAGTGCTACTGCTCCTCTCTCTCTCTCTCTCTCTCTCTCTCTCTCTCTCTCTCTCTCTCTCTCTCTCTCGATCTCCTCGAACTGGAAGGTGATTCTAAGCTGTGTCTGATGTGATGAAGGTGGAAAAACAACGCGATGTTGGGCTTCAGAAATGCTTACCTGTCCCCCATAGCACCAAATGTGATCTTCGAGTGAACCGCAGTTCCGCTCTCTGGATTAATGTAAATCGGGACAAGTCCGTTATCTGGGAAAATATGGTCCCTGATATACGTTATTGTCTTTTCAACCTGGTACCACAAACAAAAAAGGGGAAAAGCAACCGTTGAAAAAATGAAAAACAAGCGAAAAGCAACCGGTCAAATAAAAGACAAGGGAAAAGGAAACGGACAAATGAAAAACAAGGGCAACTGGATTTCATGGCGAATTTCGTGGTCAGTGGTCACCCTCAGGCAAAAGATGTTTGGTTTGGAATTCCGCATGACATAATTATTTTTTTCAGATCTTTCTTTTTTTTTGCTCTGGGACTGCCTGGGACCTCGACCGGGACTTTGTCCGGTCCTGGCCCCGGCCACGCCACCTGGGCCAATCTGACACATCCGGGCCACCCGCGTAGTAACACAGATGGTTAACCCTCTACACAACACATAGGGAGATTACATTGAACCATACTTGCAATTGGACGCCGTCCGGGCGGTTCCGCACGTGCGGCAGACCGCCGGACCGGCCTGCGCGTTGCACGAATGTGCGCCCGACGACCAGTTACGCCCCCCCCCCCCCCCCCCCCCCCCCAAAAAAAAAACCACACCACGGGCGGGGCGCGGGCCGCCCCGGGGGGGGGGGGGGGGGGGGGGGGGGGGGGGGGGGGGGGGGGTGTGGTTTTGGGGGGGGGGGGGGGGGGGGGCGGGGCGTAACTGGTCGTCGGGCGCACATTCGTGCGCCG